TCAGGGGCCGCCGCTCGGGAGAGGACGGGGTACTCCCCGAGGCTCCGGTGGGTGACCTTTGGGCGTGGTTTCGTCGGTGGCCTCCAGCGCGCCTCATAGGGCTGTCCCTGGAACCTTTGGCGGTCTTTCGGGTTCTTCAGTCTCTCCCCAAAGTTTCTGCAGGTCTTGCGGCCCAGGCTCTTGGAGGCCCCAGAGGTCTCCCGGGGTCCTCGGGACCCCTTGGAGCCACCAGGGCTCGCGCTCGGATGTCGGTGGGGTCCGGGGGGCCTCGGCTGCCACTGGCGTTTTTCGGAGGTCAGTGGAAATCCCCCTTACGATCTTCGGGGGTCCCTGGCAGCCCTCGGTGGCTCTTTGTGGTTACTGGTGTCTGCTGGGTCTTCGAAGGTCGCTGGGGACTTCTGGAAGCCTCTGGATGCCTCGGGGGGGGATCCTTTCTCTGGTGGGCCTTAAAACGCGCGCCCGCAGAAGCATGTGTACATGCGTGCGTATACACGCATATACATACAGACAAGATACTACAGATCGAAGGTGTTCTGTGGGAGCGATGTGTTGTCACGGCTGTTGCCGCGTTGCAACCGCGTCCTGTTTGCAGGCGCAGTGGCGTCGGCATCTGCGTCGTCATATTTGTTGCGCTGTAGTGTGAGTGCACCGGAATGTTGTTGCGAAGCGCCCGCTCTACAGACCTCTGCGTCGAAATGGTCTCGCGTGGCGCTCTTTCTCCATCGTGGCTTCCATGGGCGTTGCGCATTGTTGTGCGGCCGCGCGCACTCGGTTGCGTTCTGAGCGCGTTTGGTTGCGTTTGGAGCGCTCCTTGGCTCCCTCAGCGGCCGTTCGTTCGCCCCCCCCGTCTTCGCCACCCCCGCGTGGATCAGCGTGAAACGCGTCGTTGAGGACGCCGGTTGGGCAATTGATCGCAAAGGAGCAAAGCGTGACATATGTGGGTGTTATGTTATACAATAGCGCGCCGTCGCACGCCGCACTGCACAAAAGAATCGGGGGCAGCACGGTCCGAATGCATCAAAAATGAATGAGCGCGGAAACATTGTTGTCAGCAGGCGGCGACAATTTGATTTTCCCTAACGCTGGTGACATCCCAAATTCTGCGCCAGTTCATCACGGCGCGGTTAAAGCAAAGCTGGCAAGAGAAGGTTCGATGGATTTCAAGCCAGATTCTTACGACGAGTGCTACATATATACCGGTCGCCTTTCCTACGCGAGCGCTTGATAGCAAGGTTATGGGAAAAGTTGGCAAGTGCAGTGCAGCGCGTAACTTCTTCAACGGCTGATATCACTACTTGGAGAAAGTAGCCAGGTTCCAGATGCATAATTTCTCCAGTGGTTCACTTTTCAGCTCGGCGCCTTTCTCTCAACCGCTGATGCGCACCAAAGGGGGAAAAGGAGACCCAAACAATATTGGACGTAATGGCCAGTCAAGGTTTTGGTTGCTCATGCCAGCCAGGAACACACTTGGCCGCAGCGCTTGCAGGACTCCACCGATCGGCGACGCGTTGCAGAGAGCACTGCGAACCACAACGATGAATGCGATTACCTGTGGCAGTTTGCAGCATTCATTCTATAAGTTGCACGTCATGCCCTGCGCATTGGCGTACTATTCCTTTTTCCTGGTTTCGCCCACGCGCTGCGGCGTATGGCGTAGTGAACGTGCGTGCCCACAGCAAATATGCAGTGCTCCGTAGGGTTGCTATGGCATCGTTGTTTCCTCGGCCCATCCTTGCCCAATCTTGCGACCTGCCCCCCCTGCTGGTGCTTCTGCACTGGCACCCGTGGGTCTTGCACGTTCATTCCGCATGACCGCTACGGGCCTCAGCCGCACAACAGACCAGCCACCTCGGGGATCGTCGAGGTTCCCGTGAAGCCTTCCTTCAAGGTTTCCCAGCTCTCGTGGGCCACTGCGTGGCCATGGGCAGGCCTTCCACAAAAAAATTTGCCAGCTGACATTTCTGGGCCCAGTTGGACCCTAGCTTCTGTGGAGGGCTCAGGGGCAACTGTGACTCCTAACAGGATCGCCTCTCCCCTCGGAGAGCTCGTCGCGCTTGTCGCAGGAGCCGCGTCCGTGGCCGCGCCCCATGGCTTCTATATCTGATCAAAATTCGCATTCCCCTAAGGAGACGGAGCCAGAACTGGATGTCGCACCATGGGCGTGCAAGTGGTAACCCTTAAATTGTGTAGTTAATTTTATTGCAATTGTTCTGAACCGGCAAACAGTGGACACGATTTAGCGGTCACGTCGAAAACGCGCGTCGAGCATTTTGCGATCTTGGTGCGAGTTGTTATTGGTCACCGTACCGGATTTTAGTGGTTTATTCCGCTGCGGGCTTCGAGCGGCTCCAGCCAAACGTTATGTGCGCGACGTTGATGTTGTTAGCGACGCAAGGGCCGTCCAACACCTTTTTGGGACGGCCGTCTTGCATTTGGTCCACCAGTGGTCTCAATTCGCCATGGGTCCAACAAATATTGGCCACGCAATCTGTGAGTTTGCGAGGGATTCTGGATCGAACATCGCACATGTCACGGGCAGTTGAGGGCCTCGTGTTTTCGACGTCCTCAACGACCGAAGTGGGACCAGCTTGGCCCGACGATGCCGACCAGCAGCACCCTTACCAGACCGGGGACGAAGAGCGCAGCGAGGACAGATGGGGGAGTTGGCAGCGCGGATGGGCGCGGCCTTCTAAGAAGTCGGGGGGCTATTAGAAGGCAGGGGCCTGCCCAAAGGGGTTGGAAGGCTCCTGGGAGACGGAGGCCGTCTTAGAAACCACCCCGCCCTTTTGAGAAGGCCGCCCCCTTCGACTAAGGGAGGAGGTGGAGGTGGAGGAGGGAGGAGGCCACACTGATGGCGCGCGGGGCGCGACAGCGCAGGCGGAAGAGGCCATACGGATGGCCCGCGGGGCGCGACAGCGCCCACTCACAGGGGTGAGCGCCCCGGGCTCGGGGCACTTCGGCGGCAGCGGCAGCAGGGACGCTTTGGGGGGGCGGGAGGGGGCGCCCACGCGAGGACGAGAACCCGACCCACGCCACGGGCGGTCGACAGCGCGGACCAGTGCCGTTGGCCAGCAGCGGCAGGGCCCTGCGCCCAGGCTGAGGCGACAGCGAGGAGCGCGGGAGAGGCGGGCCCGCGCTGCACTGACACGGGCAGGCGACGGGGGCGGCGCGGCCTGCAAACAGCACTGCGCACGCCACCCTGACGGCGTGACAGCACAGAGTTCAATTGGTGTTGGTGCCGATGACCCCACCACCCGAAGGGCGTCGCCCGCGGCCGGGGCAGTCGATTCACGGCACCATCGGCACCGCGGCGAGCCCATTTTTGCACCACGCGGACCACCAGATGGAATAGGAATAAGACGCACGCGTGCGCAGAACATTGTTTTCTTGTTGCGGCGCCGCTGCGACGGAGGTCTCGAGCTGATTTCGGCACAGTCGAACAATTCGGCCAGAACCCTTGAGACGACCTCACAGTAACGGGCCACATCTGCTGCACTCAGTGTTTGCCTTCCTTTCGTCACGAACCCCAACGGAATTACGAGCACAGTCGTCGAGGCACCGAGGACATACGTTTCCCAGCAAGCCAGGCGACAAACATGCAGGACTAGTGACTAGCGAGAGCCAAGCTTGAGCGAGCCCCACATCGGCGAGATGGCCTCCCATGCCACCGGGCGGGGGGGGGTGGGGAGGGGGGGGCAATTTCCAAACGAGAAGGACACGAGGATGCGGCGAGGTGGTGCGGATGCGTGCGCAGGCTTGTTTTCGAGGAGGTGGGCAGGATATCTCCCAAGCAAGACGAGGATACGTCGGAGGCAGCGAGTACGTAGGGCGAGGAGGTGGAGGGATGTGGCGAGGATGCGTGCGGAGGGACGGTCGCCCTCCTCTTGGCAGGCTTCTGCTGGAGCGTGAGCGCGCCAGGTCCCGCTTCTGTGCCTGACCCCTCGCGAGGTCGCCGTCGCAGTCTGCTTTTTCCCGTCTCGGCGGGAAGAAGCTGCTACAGAGTGCCTTGCCCTTGCCGCGCCTGTGGGATTCGATCGCGCGTGCCAGTAGGCGATGCCGAGAGAAAACTTTCAGTCGGCGAACGAGGATGCGCTGAAGCATCCGCAATTTGCCCCCCCCTCCCATCCCTCCCACCCCATCCCCTCCCGTTTACCGACGGCAGATCGGGTGTCACACTTGCCGCCAGCAGCCAGAAATGCGTCGACTCGAACACCAACGACTGGTCAGCAGCCACCAGCACTTGCCGACGCAGGCAGAAAAGACACCGACGCCAGCGAGGGTCTTGATCTCATCGTGTCGATCGTAGTTGGCAACGTGCGTGTGCTTCTGGATGCACGCGCATCTGGCGTAGCGGGGCCACGCGCTCAGGGAGATCACCGCCCACTCAGCATTTATCACTCATGGGATGGAGTCCCCTGGCGTAGAATCTCATCCTCCAGGGGCAACGATAGGGGGGGATAGGCACAGGGTGGATGCATCGACCACTAATCGCCCATTGATCGCCGATAGGGGCCCGATAGCCTTAGCATGCCCAGGAGGGTGCGGATTTACCATCGGAGGCATATCGCCGATCTATCGGCGATGTATCGCCGATTCCAGGTTGTTGCCCCTCAATCGTGCTTGAAAGAGGCGGACTGGAAGGTGAACGAGGGCAGGCGGGAAAGAGCGAGGGAGGGGAGTCCAGAAGCAGCATCAGCAGCGGCAGAAGGGCGAGGACGGCCGCGGGAGCGGCATCCGCTCGCAAGTGGGTCCTGATGGCGTCGGACCCCCCCCCCTTTCAGTATCGTTCAACCGATCCCCATCCCCATCCCCATCCCCTTCGAGACCCCCACCAGATGACCACCCCAGTTGGGGATGCACCCCTCGAAACCCGAAGGGAACGGCCTATATCCCCCATCTGGGCGGCTAAATCGGCCAGCGGGGTTCAGGCCACGCCGCTGGGGATGGGGATCGGTTAAGCCATACTCACCCCGGGTGCTGTCGGCCGCGGCCTTCCCCAGGCTGGAGGCGCGGCTCTCCGGGGCGCGCCGCTCCGCCCGGAAGAGCGCGGCGAATCTCACCGGGCAGCTGGCCTCGGCCAGGGCCTCCGTCCGCCGCCTGGAGGAGGAGACGCCGCGACATGCCCCCCCCTTCTGCTCCTCCTCCTCCTCCTCCTCCTCCTCCTCCTCCTCCTCCTCCTCCTCCTCCTCCTCCTCCCCTCCTCCTCCTCCCCTCCTCCTCCCCCCCTCCTCCTCCTCCTCCTCCTCCTCCTCCTCCTCCTCCTCCTCCTCCTCCTCCTCACGCCTGGAGGCTGCTCCAGGTGTGAGCGTGCCTGTCCGAGGCGGGAATGCATGCATGACCACCGCCTGCAGGGTCAATTTTCGGGGACCTCGGCAGGCGGTGGATGTGGATACAGTATAGTCGGGCCCTGGGGGCCAAAATCTGTCCATATCCACCGCCCGCTGGGGCACCAGGACGTCGGTTCCCAGGCGGTGGATATGGGTAAACCCCCGCCTCGCAGCCTGGGCCGTCGCTGTCTCGCCTCTCGCTTCTCGCGCTGACGTGGCAGAGCCGTGTCGGCGCCTGCAGCCGAGACGCTGTGAAGAGGTGTCTTGACAGTTCCGTGTCGGAGCCTACAGCCAAGACGCTGAGATACCGACCGCGTTGGGCTCAGGAGGGGCTCTGGTTTTCGGGCCGGTTCCCGAGATCTAGGCCGGGGAGCCTCTTCGTGGCCGAGGCTCGCCAGTGCCGGGAAAGACCCTCCGCTCCTTACTTCGGGGAAGAATGCATAAACCTACGCGTTCGACGGTCCGCACGGATTTCTTGGACCGGCGCTGGAGCCCCCTGGCGGCGCCTCCGGCGCCACCCTTGGCGCGCTCCGCGCCAGGGAGGGGGATTCGGCGCCGATTGAGGGAGTGAGATCGAAGTGGAACGGAAACCCCCCCTACCGGGAAGTCGGTCTCGGTTTCGTGTTCGTGCGCGCCGTGCGTGCGGGGGAGGCGAAGCTGCGTGGGCGGGCGAGAAATGTCCCGCCTCTGGCTGAGGCGCGGCCGGACCAAAAGTCTCCCTTCCGGCAACCGGTGCCGCGCGGTGTCCCGCCGGTGTCCCGCCGGTGTCCCGATGATGATGATGATGATGATGATGATGATGATGATGATGATGAGGATGAGGATGAGGATGAGGATGAGGATGAGGATGAGGATGAGGATGAGGATGATGATGATGATGACGGTGACGATGCTGCTGATGATGATGGCCATGGTGGCGATGATGATGATGGTTCCCCGATGATGATGATGATGCTGATGATGCTGATGATGATGACGGTGATGCTGATGATCCTGATGATGTTGATGATGATGAGATGATGATTGTGATGATGATGAAGATGCTGATGACGATGATGGTGTCCCGATGATGATGAGGATGATGATGATGAGGTTGATGATGATGCTGTTGATCATGATGATGGTGATGATGGTGTCCCGATGATGATGATGTTGATGATGCTGATTTTGCTGATGATGACGATGATGGTGTCCCGATGATGATGATGATGATGATGCTGATGATGCTGATGATTAGGATGACGATGAGGTTATGATGATTTTGATGGTGGTGGCCCGATGTTGATGATGATGATGGTGTCCCGATGATGATGATGATGATGATGGTGACGATGATGATGGTGACCCGATGATGATGTTGATGATGATGATGATGTTGCTGATGATGATGGTGTCCCGATGATGATGGTGATGATGATGATGTTGGTGTTGATGATGTTGTTCATGATGATGATATGATAATGATGATGATGGTGGTGCCCCGCTGATGATGATGATGGTGTCCCGATGATGATGGTGTTGATGATGATGATGGTGACGATGATGGTGTCCCGATGATGGTGATGATGGTGATGATGATGGCCATTGTGGCGATGATGATAGAGTCCCGATGATGATGTTGATGATGCTGATGTTGTTGTTGATGATGATGGTTCTTCGATGATGATGATGATGCTGATGATGTTGATCTTGATGAGATGATGAGATGACTATGATATGAAAGATGATGATGACTGTGGTGACCCAGTAATTCTGATGATGGCCTTGATAATGATGCTGTTAATTGTGATGATGGTGATGATGATGGTGCCCCGACGAGGATGATAATGAAGATGATGGTGTTTGATGATGATGATGATGACGATGAGGATGGTGCTGAGGTGATGATGATTTTGATGGTGGTGGCCAGATGATGCTGATGTGGTGATGGTGTCCCGGTGATGAAAAGTGTGCTGATTGTGATGCTGATGGTAACGACGACGATGGTGTCCCGATGATGATGATGATGTTGATGATGATGTTGTTGATGATGATGGTGTTCCGATGATGATGCGGACGATGTTGCCCATGATGATGATGGGATGATGATGATGATGGTGGTGCTGCGATGATGATGATCACGATGGTGGTGTCCCGATGATGATGAGGTTGGATATGATGATTTTGACGATGATGGTGTCCCACTGATGATGAAGGTGCTGATGATGATGGTGATGTGGAATGATGGTGATGGTGTCCCGATGATGATGAGGATGATGATGATGAGGTTGATTATGATGCTGTTGATGATGATGATGATCGCGTTGATTGTGAAATCGATTGTGTTCTCGATTGTGGTACCGACTGTGAGACCGAATGTGAGTTATATTGTGAGACCGATAGTGATACCGATAGTGAGATCGATATGCGAGATTGATACTCACATCGATTGTGAGATCGATCGAATGAAATAGATCGGGTGATCTCGATTGTTAGATCGATCGAGTGAGATCGATCGATCGAGACCGATAGTGAGACCGATAGTAAAATCGATAGTGCGACCGATCGAGTGAGACGTTGGCTCCCCCCCCGAGCCTCCTTATCACCCGAAGGGTGGTCGTACAGATCTATATATATATACATACATATATGTATGTGTATATATATACATATATCATAATGAGGGGGCCGAACTGTCATTCACTGTCCGTGGGCGCATGGTTGAAGTGGGATTCCGCGATGCGGACTATTGTTGTTATTGTTGATTTATCACGTTTGAAGAATAGTTCTTTTTGATCCCCCTCACGGGTGCATACTGTTTTTTCTCAATCAAATTGTTCCCCTCGACGCTCGCACCCCGTTTTTTGACAGGGAAAGTCTTCGTGCTCAAACTGGGCCCCTGGCCCCCCGGGTTACAGCAACAACGGCTCCCGCCTGAGACATCCTCCGAATTTCCGCAGGACCCCCACTCCTGAGACTTCCTCACAATTTAGTCAGGATCGGTGTTCCCGCCTGTGACTACCTCGCAATTAATTCAGGACCCCCGCTCCCATCTGAGACTTCCTCACAATTTACTCTGGAACGGCGCTCCCGCTTGAGACTTCCTCGCAATTGAATCAAGACTTCCTCGCAATTTAATCCTGACTTCCGCTCCCGCCAGAGAACCCTTCACATGTTTTTCAAGAGTTGCGCTGTCGCCTGTGACCCCCATGCAATTTATTCAGAGATCGCGCTTTCGACGCTCAGGAAACACGCTGCGCCAGGGACAACGTTACAATTTACTTAGTAATCGCGCTCTCGCCATATTCGGGCATCCCGCTTGAATGTCCCACCCGCCCGACCCGCCCGTCTGGGGATCGCCCGCCCGTCGTGGGTTCCCGCCCGAGACTTCCTTCAGCAACGCCGGTTTCGCCTAGGACTGCCTCGAACGTTCACGCTCTTACCTTCCTGTTCCTCCTCCCTCTCCCTCCTCCTTTCTCTCTCCCTCCTCTCTTCCCTCATCCTTATGCCTCTCTGCCCTATCCCCTCTCCCTCCTCTCCTTCCTCCCTTCCCCCTCCCCTCTCCTGCCTCCTCCCTCCCTCTTTCTTTGTTTTTTTTGTTTTTCTCTCTCTCTCTCTCTCTCTCTCTTCCTCTCTCTCTGTGTCTCTCTCTCTCTCTCTCTCTCGATATCTTTCTTTCTCTTTTTCTCTCTCTCTCCCTCTCTCTCTCTCTCTCTCTCTCTTTTTCCCCCCCATCTCTCTCTCTCTCTCTCTCTCTCTCTTTCTCGACCTCTCTTATATGTTGTTTTGTTTTTTTGTTTCTCTCTCTCTCTCTCTTTTTCTCTCTCTCTCTCTCTCTCTCTCTCTCCCTCTCTGCCTCTAATCAACCGCCCCCCCTTCGCTCCTTCTCTCCTGGTGTTTTTTCCTCTTCCTTCGTTCCTCCCCCCCCCTTCCTCCCACTTTCCCTCGTTCTCCACCTCTTCTTTCTGCAGGGCCCACACACATTCCAATGGCGGGCACATGTACACCCACGAAGGATTGTCCGCCCGTTCAGGTTTGCCCGCCTGTCTAGGCCAGCCGCCCCCCCCATAGAGAAAGAATCCCCCCAAAGGGGGTGTAGGGCCGGTACCGAGGGTGTGGGGAACTCGTTGTGAATGACACGCAGGCAAGTAAGAGCGAACACTCTTATTATGAGTGTTGTTGTGTGTTGTGTTGTTGTTGGTGTTGTTGTCATTGTGTTTCGTGTTATTGTTGGTGGTGGTGGTGTTGGTGCTGGTGTTGGTGGTGGTGTTGTTGTTGGTGCTGTTGTTGCTGTTGCTGGTGGTGTCGATGTTGGTGTTGGTGGTGCTGGTGTTGGTGTTGGTGGTGGTGCTGTTGTTGTTGCTGTTGTTGGTGTTGTTGGTGGTGTTGTTGTTATTGTTGTGTTTGTTCACTTGTTGTTTGATATTGTTTACTGTTGTTTACTGTTGTTGTTGGTGTTGTTGTTGTTGTTGTTGTTGTTGTTGTTGTTGTTGTTGTTGTTGTTGTTGTTGTTGTTGTTGTTTGGCGTCGTCTCCCCCGCGACCCACCCGCGACCTGCCCGCTACCCACTCGAGACCCACCCGCGACCCACCCCGCGATCTACGCCGCGATCCGCCCGCGACCCACCCGCGACCCACCCCCCAACCCACCCGCGACACACCCCGCGACCCTTCCCGCGACCCACCCACCTTGCTCTAACGAAGAATCGGCGTTTGCGGCGGGCTCGTTGTACAATTTGTAAACATTAGGCGCCTGCGGCGGCTTCTTCAGAGCCTCGCAGACTGCAGACGTCCACTCCGC